TTCTCTATATGTGTATGTATAGGGTTTTCTATCTCTATCAATTGTAAATGTATTATACTCTGGATTGTCTTTTAAAACCTTAAATAAAACAATATATACTGGTAATAACTTGCCAACTTCCATATTTTTGACATAAACTTCTGTTTCAATAAATTAAATGATTTTCTATTTCCTTTCTTCCTTTCTAAATTTTTTAAAGATTTTTTATCCATATAATTACTAGCAATATTAAGAAGTTTATGAATATTTTCAATCTTATTTAAATAATACCTGCTTCTACCAAAAGCCAATTGTATAGGTGCACAATCAAGTGAAATGTGATAAGTGGTATTGTGTAACATATTTGCCATAACCCGTAGGGTTATTGCTGTTGGGTGAAGACATTAAAATTTCGTGGTAAAGAATTTACTATTTCTATTTATAGCTTATTTGTTTACAAACAAACAATTAATATTAATGTTAATATTTCAATATTGAAGATAATTATTAATAAATAAATTCTTTTAAACATATGTTTCTTTTACGTTTTAGTATTGTCACAATATGATGTGACAATATTAACCATGGCAATAGCTTTTCTTATATTTTTCTCATTTGTACATCTGAGACCTGTTGTTATGTTTCTGTGAATTCTTTCAATTATAGAATTATCGTGAGGATTATATGGGGTAGTGAATTAGTGATTTATATTATATATTATAGAGTTTTTCGATCAAAAGTCGAATTTTTGCAATCAATTGTAGAAAAAAAGAATTTTTAAAAAAAATTTTACCCCTTATGGTGACTTTAGAAAATAAACAAAGTAAGGTGAGGAGAAAACAAGTGACTTCTGAAGACAGGGAAAGAATTATCTCAAAGGTTCTTGTTGGTTTGTTCCTATAAGACATTTATGTCGTATTAGACATGAACTATAAACTTTTGGAAAATAGCAACCAATTTTCTAAAAACTGGTGATGTTCATGCAAAAATATGTGGTAGAGACAGGCGTTCAAAGTTAACACTTGAACAAAAAGAAATGTTTATTCCCTGGCTATACACAAACTACCTGCAAAGACTTAAAGATTTAGCTACCAGAGTAACTGAATTATTCGGTATC